TGATATAACTGGACTAATGTTCAAAGCGTTAAGCCCCACTGACTCTCTCATTGTGTTTATTGCGGTACATGATTTGTGTATTTCTGACATCATATACTCCATTCAATATTTCAGCCAACCGTTTTGCTGACTGGGTTTTATGACGCCATCATAATCTATGCTGACGTCATCAACGAGACGCTGGCCCAGGGAGGTGACCCGACAGACGGAAGTGACGTCACGCGTAGAATGTGGAACAGAACTTTTAATGGTACGTCCTCTGAATCCTTCCACTTTTCTTTCATTGGCAACTGATCAGTTTGATGTCATCATAACAGTGTCGTACCATGGTAAACATGTGAAGGTCATTTACAAATTTGACGCTTCATTGACAAAACGTATGTAATCACATCTTTGGTGGAAAAGAGTGAGTTTGCAATGTTCGCTACAATTTTACAGTAATCGCATAACACAACTGTTAACGGGTATCTTAGAAATCTTATCTTTGAAAATTTACATTTCAGATATGAGATATATTACTGAAACAATATATTGTTAGACAAAATTTCCCAGCCAAAGATTACTTTTTGCTAATTGGTGCAAGAATGCCTCGTGATGGTTAAATATACATAATCAACAGTTATTATTATTATTATTATTATTATTATTATTATCATTATTAACCCTACAGTCAGTCCAGACACACATACACTGGCTAAGCACTGCGTAATCACATTGTATATTAATACGAAATAACTATCGAGACAAATCGACATCCCAAGAACAAAGGCATTCATCAAGTGTCAATACTCCTATTGAATACAAACTAATATACCAGCGAACTTTGATAATCGGTTTTTATTTGTTCCTGTTTCAGGAATTGGCGGCCGTGTTTCCATCAACGACAACGGCGACAAATACACCGACTTCAACTTGTTCGGTATGCAAGACACAACGAATGGGATTTTTGAGGTGTGTATTGTTTACATCTAGGTCTTGTCACGTGTGTTGTCTTCAACAGATTATGTATTCTGGCTCCTCATGCAACTCGGCCACCTGTGTCCTGTTGAGTGAGTTTAACGCCACTCCGAACAGTATTCCAGCTATATCACGACGTGTCAGCTTAATGTGGGAGGAAAGTCTGAAGTGATGCAGGTCTAAGACGTTTAATTACCACTTTGGTAAAACCCATGAGTACCTGTATGGTGCTGACAAACCTAGAAACATAATCAGGGCGAACAGGGATTCGAACCAACAATTGTAATCTAGCGCGTCCAAGGGACGCAACTCTGCACAGCTAATTGCCGCGCCGTCGACGACTTTGCAACCCGTGCCCCCTCTCCTGGAGTATCATGCAAACACTGTACAGTTATTCAGATGTTCAGTTCGTATATCCAGGTTATTGGCGAGTACGATGGCAAAACCAAGATGTTTAGTTTCCGGCCTGGGATGTCTATCAAGTGGGTCGGTTCCGGTCCGCCACCGGATGTACCTGAATGTGGCTTCCGGGAAGACAGGTGCGCAGCAACGGGTCAGTATGAACGTCTGCCTAATGATGGTATTCTCCTAAACACTAGGAGACTTACAGCCGCGATTATCTCAGCTCTTATCCGTCTTGCAACAGGAATTTTTAATTATTAATTATAAATGCTAGTTTCGGTTTGATTACTTTAGTCGTTCACAAAATAGTACAACTTTTGACCTTGCATTTTTAAGTTGGTTCCAGTTCCATATTGGTGATATTGTGGTGTCAAATGCCAATGACGTCATCGACAATGCTTTCTGACGGAGCATATGTCGTCATTGACTATGATGCACTCTATGCTTGTTTGTTGTTAACGACGCACTCAGCCAAACTCCAGCTATTGAGACGGAAGCCTGTAAATAGTTGAGTCTCAACCAGACAAACAAGTGGATGATATTATGAGCAACATCCCATCCTTTCTATAATGTAAAACGTCAACGCCAGAGAATAACTAGTTTCGTTTCAGAATCCATTGGGCGAAAAGTCCAAATGGCGTTGACAGTTTTATGTTTGAATCACTGAAACAGTGGTGGCACCAGGTGTTCGCGAAACCACAAACAGTTGCACAATAATAGATTTGTTTGTTTGATGACATGCATCAACCAAGTCAGCGGACCTGACCACCCGATCCCGTTAGTCGCATATTACGACAAGCATAGTCTCCTTTTACGGCAAGAATGGGTTGCTGAAGACCTATTCTAACCCAGGATGTTCACGGGTCGCACAAGAATATCTATTGTATGTAAACTCTGTTATTAATTGAATTATTAATTTCATTTTAATTATATCGTTTTGTTTTTTTATGTAGAAAACAACTTCACTCTGTCCGTGGGTCTTGGAGCAGGGTTTACCTGCATAGCTGTTGTGGCTCTCAGTCTGCTTCTCCTTATATACAGGTACAGTGTTGTGTGTGCGCTTGTTAATTTGTTTTACGCCGCACTGATCAATATCCCAGTTACAGCACGACGGCCTGTAAAGAATCGAATCAAAAGCATGCAAACGAGTGGTTGATATTATGAACAACGTATAACGTCGTCTGAATACGATGGCTCGCAATGCAATAAAATGTGTCATCGAGTCTGCTGTAACGCGGTTGTAAATGATAAAACAACGAAATCTAATGTACCAGATGTATATGTGTATAAGTCCCGTGAAGATCCGGGGTAGAATAGGTCTTCAGAAACCCATGCTTGCCGTAAAAGGCAAATATTCTTGCCGTAAGAGGCGACTAACGGGATCGGGTGGTCAGGCTCGCTGACTTGGTTGATGCATGTCATCGTATCCAAATTGCGTGGATAGATGCTCATGATGTCAGTCACTGGATTGCCTGGTCCAGACTCGATTACCTACAGACACCCGTCATATAGCTGGGATATTGCTGGGTGCGGCGTTAAACAACAAACAAACAACAAGATAGGGGTGTAAATGCATCTTTTACATCTTGTTTGTTGAGTAACTTGGACTCGATAACAGGAATATTTATGTTATGAATATAAGTGAATAATAACTTATCATTTATACGATATGTTGTTTAACGACACATCCTATTACAGTCGTATTTTGTTTTTGATTTTTGTTTTGTTTTACGCCGCACTCAGCAATGCTATTTTATGACGGACTGTAAATAATCGAGTGATTTATTTGTATATGAGCGATGCATGCTATCAAACAAGTCACTGAGCCTGACAGCTCGATCCAATTTGGTCGCCTGTCACGACCTGCACAGACTGGGGATCTATTCTGAGTCGGAATCTCAACGGGGGCGTTTTAACCTGGTGTTAACAAACATGTCGCGATCATTTACCTGATGTAGAAATGACATAAGTTTATCTCATCCTCGACAATCAAGGGTATTTTACCTCGATATAACTATGACACAATACCCTGGTTCCATTTGCTTTGAAAATGACGTCATTTCCATATCTATTATGAGTGACGTCACGACACAGACTTTATATCGTATATGGTGCAGTTTGATTGGGTGGCTGTTTTTATCTTCGGGTTTTTCGAACCCTGTTCAAACAGAGCTGTAGTAGCGACTGAGTGAAGAAAAATTCTCAAAACAGAATTCAAATACGAGTGTCACACTGGCTTATCGGGTAATATTTTATATTGTTTTAGGTTATATTTGTCTGTTTGTTGTTTAACGCCGCTCTCAGCAATATTCCAGCTATATGAGGGCGGTCCGTAAATAATCGAGTCTGGCCAGACAATCCAGTGATTGACATCATGAGCATCGATGTGTTAGGTAATTCTGTTCTGCGTTATATGAACGTTTTCGTATCTAAATTGCTATAGTTCAAGCAAGTCAAGTTGTTACTTTGGTGTTGGACATAAAACTAGTTGTGTTATCCCTCGAAGTATTCCTTACTCTGATACCCTGCGTGCGCACGTCTTCTTGTTACAGGAAGTGGAAAAATCAGTCTCAGCGCGACCTCTGGTGGTGGAAAATTGAACTGGATGAACTTCAAATAAAGGAACGAAAACTCGGCAGTTCGGTTTTCAGTGTCATGTCACAGGTATTTGTGTGACTGGAGGTTTACTGAACGTGTCACAGGTATTTGTGTGACTGGGGGTTTACTGAACGTGTCACAGGTATTTGTGTGACTGGAGGTTTACTGACTAAACTTGGTGTCCTGTCACAGGTATTTGTGTGACTGGAGGTTTACTGACTAAACTTGGTGTCCTGTCACGTGATATTGCTGGGCTATTGCTAAAACAGCGTAAAACAATAATCACTTACACATTAAATTGTACGTCCCATACTGATGTTAAAGGTCATTGGTGCATGTTGTTTAAATGCTCTAGCCGTGTTACACTATCAGCTGCCCTAGTAAAACATGTTGATGTTTACGTAGATGAGCGTCACAGCGAGGGCTCTAGCCGTGTTACACTATCAGCTGCCATAAGCGTTACAGCGATGGCTGTAGCCGTGTTACACTATCAGCTGCCATGAGCGTTACAGCGATGGCTCTAGCCGTGTTACACTATCAGCTGCCCTAGTAACACATGTTGATGTTTACGTAGATGAGCGTTACAGCGAGGGCTCTAGCCGTGTTACACTATCAGCTGCCATAAGCGTTACAGCGAGAGATCTAGCCGTGTTACACTATCAGCTGCCCTAGTAACAGATGTTGATGTTTACGTAGATGAGCGTTACAGCGAGGGATCTAGCTGTGTTTCACTATCAGCTGCCCTAGTAACACATGTTGATGTTTACGTAGATGAGCGTTACAGCGATGGCTCTAGCCGTGTTACACTATCAGCTGCCATAAGCGTTACAGCGAGAGATCTAGCCGTGTTACACTATCAGCTGCCCTAGTAAAACATGTTGATGTTTACGTAGATGAGCGTTACAGCGATGGCTCTAGCCGTGTTACACTATCAGCTGCTCTAGTAACACATGTTGATGTTTACGTAGATGAGCGTTACAGCGAGGGCTCTAGCCGTGTTACACTATCAGCTGCCCTAGTAACACATGTTGATGTTTACGTAGATGAGCGCTACAGCGAGGACGGACCCATCGACCCATGACGAAATCAGCGGAGACATCGCGGTATACAAGGTAATGAAGTAGTAGGTGGATGACTTGATACCTCTGAAGTCTATATGGAACATCACACTATACTACAGTAAATAAAAGCTGTAAAACATTTCCGTAATCCGAGCAAGTCTCTGCTGAAGGTAGAGCCCATTGTACGAACCCGACTGTATGATGAGTATGCGTGTATTAATCACTGACCAATAGTGATGAAACCAGGTGTTCTGCCCCATCCGTGCTACTCGTCACAAACACATGCATAGGCAAATCAATTGTCTACTTAAATACGTGAACAGATCATACAAGTCCAAATACGGAATTGCATCATTTTTGTCTATATGTATTCTGCCCTATCCGTGCTACTCATCACAAACACATGCACAGGCAAATCAAGTGTCTACTTGAATACGTGAACAGATCATACAAGTCCAAATACGGAATTGCATCATTTTTGTCTATAGGTATACTGCCCCATCCGTGCTACTCGTCACAAACACATGCACAGGCAAATCAAGTGTCTACTTGAATACGTGAACAGATGATACAAGTCCAATAATGGAATTGCATCATTTTTGTCAATAGGTATTCTGCCCCATCCGTGCTACTCGTCACAAACACATGCACAGGCAAATCAATTGTCTACTTGAATACGTGAACGGATGATACAAGTCCAAATACGGAATTGTATCATTTCTGTCTATATGTATTCTACCCAACCTGTGCCACTCGTCACAAACACATGCACAGGCAAATCAATTGTCTACTTGAATACGTGAACAGACCATACAAGCCCAAATACGGAATTGCATCATTTTTGTCAATAGGTATTCTGTCCCATCCGTGCTACTCGTCACAAACACATGCACAGGCAAATCATTTGTCTACTTGAATACGTGAACAGATCATACAAGCCCAAATACGGAATTGCATCATTTTTGTCAATAGGTATTCTGCCACATCTGTTCCACTCGTCACAAACACATGCACAGGCAAATCAAGTGTCTACTTGAATACGTGAACAGACCATACAAGTCCAAATACGGAATTGCATCATTTTTGTCAATAGGTATTCTGCCACATCTGTTCCACTAGTCACAAACACATGCACATACAAATCAATTCTCTACTTGAATACGTGAACGGATGATGCAAGTCCAAATACGGAATTGCATCATTTTTGTCAATAGGTATTCTGCCCCATCCGTGCTACTCGACACAAACACATGCACGGGCAAATCAATTGTCTACTTGAATACGTGTACAGATCATACAAGCCCAAATACGGAATTGCATCATTTTTGTCAATAGGTATTCTGCCACATCTGTTCCACTCGTCACAAACACATTCACATACAAATCAATTCTCTACTTGAATACGTGAACGGATGATGCAAGTCCACATATGGAATTGCATCATTTCTGTCAATAGGTATTCTGCCCCATCCGTGCTTCTCGTCACAAACACATGCACAGGCAAATCAAGTGTCTACTTGAATACGTGAACAGACCATACAAGTCCAAATACGGAATTGCATCATTTTTGTCAATAGGTATTCTGCCACATCTGTTCCACTCGTCACAAACACATGCACATACAAATCAATTCTCTACTTGAATACGTGAACGGATGATGCAAGTCCAAATACGGAATTGCATCATTTTTGTCAATAGGTATTCTGCCCCATCCGTGCTACTCGACACAAACACATGCACGGGCAAATCAATTGTCTACTTGAATACGTGAACAGATCATACAAGCCCAAATACGGAATTGCATCATTTTTGTCAATAGGTATTCTGCTACATCTGTTCCACTCGTCACAAACACATTCACATACAAATCAATTCTCTACTTGAATACGTGAACGGATGATGCAAGTCCACATATGGAATTGTATCAATTTTGTCAATAGGTATTCTGCCCCATCCGTGCTACTCGTCACAAACACATGCACAGGCAAATCAAGTGTCTACTTGAATACGTGAATAGATTATACAAGTCCAAATATGGAATTGCATATATTTGTCAATAGGCATCTGACCCATCCGTGCTACTCGTCACAAACACATGCACGGGCAAATCAATTGTCTACTTGAATACGTGAATAGATTATACAAGTCCAAATATGGAATTGCATATATTTGTCAATAGGCATCTGCCCCATCCGTGCTACTCGTCACAAACACATGCACGGGCAAATCAAGTGTCTACTTGAATACGTGAACAGATTATACAAGTCCAAATACGGAATTGCATCATTTTTGTCAATAGGTATTCTGTCCCACCCGTGCTACTCGTCACAAACACATGCACAGGCAAATCAATAGTCTACTTGAATATGTAGAAGTCCAAATACGGAATTGCATCATTTTTGTCAATAATGAGCCAAATTTGGAAATGTCCTCCACATGTCCACCGTAAATCGTTTTGAAAGCTTTACTGTAACCCTTATCAAACAACGTTTTGGCAAGAGTCGCATTACGCTCTGTGAAATCTCCGTAGTAGCGCATGCTCGACTGTACCTCAAACGTTGTTAAATGTAGACAGCCTGGAGCTGCTGAATCTTTGCGCGACATAAAAATTAAGTTGACTGTTAGAAAGTTGGAGACTTCCTCTTGACATATTGACAGATATCAGATCATCGATATACCAGCAGCTTATTTTAAATGTCTTGGCCTGTGTTTTGGTTTGTCAATCTGAGCAGAGGGAAGGAGGGAAGCACAAATTTCACATGGATGTTATCAATGAGGAAGTCCAGCATTTCACATATTGTTTTCTCTGTAAACTTCAGTTTACATTGCTTCATTGTTGACAAATGGTCCTGTACCTCTGAAGATTGATATGTAACTACAGTAAAGTACGGTTATAACGAACTCAAAGGGACTACTAATTTTAGTTCGTTATAACCGTAGTTCGTTATAAGCATATATACAGCATAACTACAGCAAATAGTCGGGACCAAAAAGTAAGTTCGTTATATCCGTCAGTTCATTATAAGCGTGTTCGTTATAACCGTAGTTTACTGTATATGTTTACTTCTCGGAGTACTCGAGCAAAAATATGCATGTCGAGTTATCCGTAGTTCGAGACAAGCGGGGACGATGTTGCACCGATATTTCACGACATCGCGCGATATTACAACGATATTGCACCGATATTACACCGACATTTCGGAAATGTTACACCGATATTACACTGACATTGCCCCGACATTGCACCGACATAACACGAATCGTATTTGTTTATTTGTTTGTTTGACGCCGCACTCAGTAATATTCCAGCTTTATGACGACGGTCTATAAATAATCGAGTCCGGACCAGACAATCCAGTGATTGACATCATGAGCATTGATCCACGCAATTTGGATACGATGACGTGCATCAACCAAGTCGGCGAGCCTGACCATCCGATCCCGTTAGTCGTCTCTTACGATAAACAGAGTCGCCTTTTGTCAAGCATGGCTTGCTGAATCGATATTGCACCGATATTACACCGATTTTTCACGACATTGCACCGATATTTCACCTAAATGTATATTTCACGAATTTTCTGCAAGGATATACAACTAGAATGACATCTTTACCGTTCGATTAAAAGGATTCGAGTCGCCTAATTATATTTGTCTGCATTGTGATTGACTGTTATCTCTTGCTGACTGCGAGTTGTTTGTTGCATTGTGATTGACTGTTATCTCTTGCTGAATGCGAGTTGTTTGTCTGCATTGTGATTGACTGTTATCTCTTGCTGACTGCGAGTTGTTTGTTGCATTGTGATTGACTGTTATCTCTTGCTGAATGCGAGTTGTTTGTCTGCATTGTGATTGACTGTTATCTCTTGCTGACTGCGAGTTGTTTGTTGCAGGGTATCCCTGTCCAGTTGAAGCATCTACACTTCAAGGATGCCCTGCAGATGAACAAGGAATTCCTCCACGAGTTCAAAATGGTACGTGATGATACTGACGCCTCTCAATCTGTGAAACCGAAAAGTTCTTACCGATTGTGAAAAGCAGATTGTGAGTGACTGAGTGAGTGAGTTTGGTTTTACGCCGCTTTTAGCAATATTCCAGCAATATCACGGCGGGGGACACCAGAAATGGGCTTCACACATTGTACCCATGTCGGGATTCGAACCCGGGTCTTCTGCGTGACGAGCGAACGCTTTAACCACTAGGCTACCCGACCGCCCCTGATTGTGAGTGTTGTGGTGAGGGTGGGAGGGTGATTGTGTGGGTGGTGGTGAGTGTTGTGGTGAGGGGGGAGGTGATTGTGTGGGTGGTGGTGAGTGTTGTGGTGAGGGGGGAGGTGATTGTGTGGGTGATGGTGATTGTTGTGGTGAGGGAGGGAGGGGGGTGATTGTGTGGGTGATGGTGATTGTTGTGGTGAGGGAGGGAGGGGGGGGATTGTGTGGGTGATGGTGATTGTTGTGGTGAGGGAGGGAGGGGGGTGATTGTGTGGGTGATGGTGAGTGTTGTGGTGAGGGGGGAGGGGATGGTGTGGGTGATGGTGAGTGTTGTGGTGAGGGGGATGGGGGGGGGGATTGTGTGGGTGATGGTGATTGTTGTGGTGAGGGAGGGAGGGGGGTGATTGTGTGGGTGATGGTGAGTGTTGTGGTGAGGGGGGAGGGGATGGTGTGGGTGATGGTGAGTGTTGTGGTGAGGGGGAGGGGGGGGGGATTGTGTGGGTGATGGTGAGTGTTGTGGTGAGGGGGGAGGGGATGGTGTGGGTGATGGTGAGTGTTGTGGTGAGGGGGAGGGGGGGGGGGATTGTGTGGGTGATGGTGAGTGTTGTGGTGAGGGGGGAGGGGATGGTGTGGGTGATGGTGAGTGTTGAGGTGAGGGGGAGGGGGGGGAGATTGTGTGGGTGATGGTGAGTGTTGTGGTGAGGGGGGAGGGGATGGTGTGGGTGATGGTGAGTGTTGAGGTGAGGGGGAGGGGGGGGGATTGTGTGGGTGATGGTGAGTGTTGTGGTGAGGGGGAGGGGGGGGGATTGTGTGGGTGATGGTGAGTGTTGTGGTGAGGGGGGAGGGGATGGTGTGGGTGATGGTGAGTGTTGAGGTGAGGGGGAGGGGGGGGGGATTGTGTGGGTGATGGTGAGTGTTGTGGTGAGGGGGAGGGGATTGTGTGGGTGATGGTGAGTGTTGTGGTGAGGGGGAGGGGGGGGGATTGTGTGGGTGATGGTGAGTGTTGTGGTGAGGGGGGAGGGGATGGTGTGGGTGATGGTGAGTGTTGAGGTGAGGGGGAGGGGGGTGGATTGTGTGGGTGATGGTGAGTGTTGTGGTGAGGGGGAGGGGGGGGGGATTGTGTGGGTGATGGTGAGTGTTGAGGTGAGGGGGAGGGGGGGGGATTGTGTGGGTGATGGTGAGTGTTGTGGTGAGGGGGGAGGGGATGGTGTGGGTGATGGTGAGTGTTGTGGTGAGGGGGGAGGGGATGGTGTGGGTGATGGTGAGTGTTGTGGTGAGGGGGAGGGGGGGGATTGTGTGGGTGATGGTGAGTGTTGTGGTGAGGGGGGAGGGGATGGTGTGGGTGATGGTGAGGGTTGTGGTGAGGGGGAGGGGGGGGGATTATGTGGGTGATGGTGAGTGTTGTGGTGAGGGGGGGGGGGGATTGTGTGGGTGATGGTGAGTGTTGTGGTGAGGGGGAGGGGGGGGGATTATGTGGGTGATGGTGAGTGTTGTGGTGAGGGGGGGGGGGGATTGTGTGGGTGATGGTGAGTGTTGTGGTGAGGGGGGAGGGGATGGTGTGGGTGATGGTGAGTGTTGTGGTGAGGGGGAGGGGGGGGGGGATTGAGTGGGTGATGGTGAGTGTTGTGGTGAGGGGGGAGGGGATTGTGTGGGTGATTTTGAGAGTTGTGGTGAGGGGGGGGGGGTGTTTGTGTGGGTGATGGTGAGTGTTGTGGTGAGGGGGGAGGGGATTGTGTGGGTGATGGTGAGTGTTGTGGTGAGGGGGTGGGTGGGGGGGTGGGGATTGTTTGGGTGATGGTGAGTGTTGTGGTGAGGGGGGGGGGGGGGGGTTGTGTGGGTGATGGTGAGGGGTGGCGGTCGATTTTGAAAGAAGGATGGTGAGGTTGGAGGATGATGGAGAGGGGTAGAGTGTGGCGAAGGGTTGAAGGTGATGGTAAAGGGTTAAGGCCGGTAGTAGGTGGTGGAATGTGTTGATGAAGGGTTAAGGCAGGTAGCAGGTGGTGGAATGTGTTAATGAAGGGTTAAGGTCGGTAGTAGGTGGTGGAAGGTGACGGTGAAGGGTTAAGGCCGGTAGTAGGTGGTGGAATGTGTTGATGAAGGGTTAAGGCAGGTAGTAGGTGGTGGAAGGTGTTGATGAAGGGTTAAGGCAGGTAGTAGGTGGTGGAAGGTGACGGTGAAGGGTTAAGGCCGGTAGTAGGTGGTGGAATGTGTTGATGAAGGGTTAAGGCAGGTAGTAGGTGGTGGAAGGTGACGGTGAAGGGTTAAGGCCGGTAGTAGGTGGTGGAATGTGTTGATGAAGGGTTAAGGCCGGTAGTAGGTGGTGGAATGTGTTGATGAAGGGTTAAGGCCGGTAGTAGGTGGTGGAAGGTGGTGATGAAGGGTTAAGGCCGGTAGTAGGTGGTGGAATGTGTTGATGAAGGGTTAAGGCCGGTAGTAGGTGGTGGAAGGTGTTGATGAAGGGTTAAGGCCGGTAGTAGGTGGTGGAAGGTGTTGATGAAGGGTTAAGGCCGGTAGTAGGTGGTGGAATGTGTTGATGAAGGGTTAAGGCCGGTAGTAGGTGGTAGAAGGTGTTGATGAAGGGTTAAGGCCGGTAGTAGGTGGTGGAATGTGTTGATGAAGGGTTAAGGCCGGTAGTAGGTGGTGGAATGTGTTGATGAAGGGTTAAGGCAGGTAGTAGGTGGTGGAAGGTGTTGATGAAGGGTTAAGGCCGGTAGTAGGTGGTGGAATGTGTTGATGAAGGGTGAAGGCCGGTAGCAGGTGGTGGGATGTGTTGATGAAGGGTTAAGGCAGGTAGTAGGTGGTGGAAGGTGTTGATGAAGGGTTAAGGCCAGTAGTAGGTGGTGGAATGTGTTGATGAAGGGTTAAGGCCGGTAGTAGGTGGTGGAATGTGTTGATGAAGGGTTAAGGCCGGTAGTAGGTGGTGGAAGGTGTTGATGAAGGGTTAAGGCGGGTAGTAGGTGGTGGAAGGTGATGATGAAGGGTTAAGGCGGGTAGCAGGTGGTGGAAGGTGTTGTTGAAGGGTTAAGGCAGGTAGCAGGTGGTGGAATGTGTTGATGAAGGGTTAAGGCCGGTAGTAGGTGGTAGAATGTGTTGATGAAGGGTTAAGGCGGGTAGTAGGTGGTGGAAGGTGTTGATGAAGGGTTAAGGCCGGTAGTAGGTGGTGGAAGGTGTTGATGAAGGGTTAAGGCTGGTAGTAGGTGGTGGAAGGTGTTGATGAAGGGTGAAGGCCGGTAGCAGGTGGTGGAATGTGTTGATGAAGGGTTAAGGCCGGGAGCAGGTGGTGGAATGTGTTGATGAAGGGTTAAGGCAGGTAGTAGGTGGTGGAAGGTGTTGATGAAGGGTGAAGGCCGGTAGTAGGTGGTGGAAGGTGTTGATGAAGGGTTAAGGCAGGTAGTAGGTGGTGGAATGTGTTGATGAAGGGTGAAGGCCGGTAGTAGGTGGTGGAAGGTGTTGATGAAGGGTTAAGGCGGGTAGTAGGTGGTGGAAGGTGTTGATGAAGGGTTAAGGCCGGTAGTAGGTGGTGGAAGGTGTTGATGAAGGGTTAAGGCAGGTAGTAGGTGGTGGAAGGTGATGATGAAGGGTTAAGGCGGGTAGTAGGTGGTGGAAGGTGTTGATGAAGGGTTAAGGCCGGTAGTAGGTGTTGGAAGGTGTTGATGAAGGGTTAAGGCAGGTAGTAGGTGGTGGAAGGTGTTGATGAAGGGTTAAGGCCGGTAGTAGGTGTTGGAAGGTGTTGATGAAGGGTTAAGGCGGGTAGTAGGTGGTGGAAGGTGATGGTAAAGGGTTAAGGCCGGTAGTAGGTGGTGGAATGTGTTGATGAAGGGTTAAGGCGGGTAGTAGGTGGTGGAATGTGTTGATGAAGGGTTAAGGCCGGTAGCAGGTGGCAGAAGGTGTTGATGAAGGGTTAAGGCGGGTAGTAGGTGGTGGAAGGTGTTGATGAAGGGTTAAGGCCGGTAGTAGGTGGAGGAAGGTGTTGATGAAGGGTTAAGGCAGGTAGTAGGTGGTGGAAGGTGTTGATGAAGGGTTAAGGCCGGTAGTAGGTGGTGGAATAGGTTGATGAAGGGTTAAGGCCGGTAGTAGGTGGTGGAATGTGTTGATGAAGGGTTAAGGCCGGTAGTAGGTGGTGGAAGGTGTTGATGAAGGGTTAAGGCAGGTAGTAGGTGGTGGAAGGTGTTGATGAAGGGTTAAGGCCGGTAGTAGGTGGTGGAAGGTGTTGATGAAGGGTTAAGGTCGGGAGCAGGTGGTGGAAGGTGATGATGAAGGGTTAAGGCCGGTAGTAGGTGGTGGAATGTGTTGATGAAGGGTTAAGGCCGGTAGTAGGTGGTGGAATGTGTTAATGAGTGGTGGAGCGTAGCTGTCGCGGGTGGCAAGTGATGAGAATGGAATTGTGTCTGTAATAATAATCCGACATGAAAGGAAATTTACAACGGAAATTTGGGTGAGGTTACCGCCAACAAATCACCCGTGACGATCCGGGGTGAACTAGGTCTTCAGCAACCCATGCTTGTGCAAAGGCGACTATGCTTGTCGTAAGAGGCTACTAACGGGATCGGATCGGACTCCCTGGCTTCTTTGACTCATGTCATCGATGCTCATGATGCCAATCACTGGATTGTATGGTCAAGACTCGAGTATTTACAGACCGCCGTTATACAGCTGGAATATTGCTAAGTACGGCTTTAAACAACAAACAAACGAAAACAAACAATCCTGAAATTCCTTACAAAGGAAACACAAGGATCGACCCCAACTGTATTCTACATGTGCATTATCTTGGCAGATACGGGATGTCAATCACGCCAACTTGGCCCGACTGTATGGGGCGTGTTTGGACGCCCCCCGCAAGGTTTTGGTTGCAGAGTTCTGTCCCAAGGGAACACTACAGGTCAAAACGTTTCAATCCCTAATGACCCCATGATGTCAAGGTCATGTTTGACTCACGATTGAATTCGATTTAACATTATTCTTTAAACATTTAGCTATCTAATCGCCGTCTTATTACCACCTTTTCCAAGATGCTTTATTAAGAGATCAAAGACGCTGTTTGAGCATCGTGTTAGATGAATATTTAGTGTCAGGTGATTAATCTGAACGAAATTGATGGAAAAGGTTAAATGGCGGACAAAGGTGACCTCCTAAATCCTAAAATTCTTATTTTTTGTGGTTTCTTTTGTAAGTTTAAAATGTATTTCGTTCCCTAGCGTAAGGGGTCGGCAATTCAGTAGAGCCCTGTTCGAGGATTTTCAATTTAGGGGAGGTAAAATGAAGTTTAACGTCGCGTTTAAGATTTTTACAAAATCAACTCCGAAGTATATTTTCTTTTGTCCCTCAGTGTACTTGTGTGTTTCATTTACTGTGTCGATCGTGCCCTCTCTTGGACACTCGGTATGGCGAACAGAGTCAACTGTGACATGAAAGCAAGTGACGTCATCTCAAATAATATTAGCAGTGACGTCACGGTATACGTACAGGTCTGCCAAACGACATGTTATATAGAGAGAAAGGTTGTTCTACCCCCATGTGGATTGTAATATGCTATAATTTGGCCCTGTACTGTTGTAACGAAAGCGTCCTCGTACTTTAGGTGTTGCAGACCGGGGCACAGTTATACTATATCATACGACGGATTGGGTAGAGCAAATACCTGATGACGTTTACAGTGGTTGATAGAATGAAGGACGACATGAGTCGTCAATACGATAACAAAGTCATAGTCTCTCAGTTTGACAACCAATCCGCATGTCAGTCGGCACCTGTAACACGCAAGATTTTCTTGAGACTCATTCTGCCCCGGGATCTCCCGTGTTGGACTTAACTTGTGTAAACATCCGTATCCCCGGGACTGACCCCTCTGTGTTTATGTCCCCACAGGATCTGCTAGGCAACCCCCAGATTAAGCTGGACGCTCAGTTTAAATTCTCTCTGACAATTGACATCGTACAGGTGAGTTAACGCCGAAACTAATCATACATTGGAAATTAGAAATCAATAGAGGTTATCACGCGAGTGTGTTTGGGGACGGTAAATATCCTGCATTAGGAATAAACACTGTATTTAGCGAGCCGAAACTAATCATACATTGGTTATTAGAAATCAAATATTATACCTGATTTGCTGTTACTCTTAACGTGAATAAAATATTTCTGATATTTCAATTCCCTGGTGTAATGCCTTTGTTCTAAGCGTTCGTCTTTGATCGGGGGCATGGGTGGCCTAGTCGTCATTCGCTGTGCAGAGTTGCGTCCCTTGTGAAATGTGAAGATCCGGGGTAGAACAGGTCTTCAGTAACCCATACTTGCCGTAAAAAGCGATTATGCTTGTAGTAAGAAGCGAAAAACAGGCTGGCAGCCCCAAAAAGTACAAGAATATGTACTTTACTAAGAGTGTAATTCCATGTATAACATTTGTTACATTTGAACACTTTCTATAATGCATTGTGTCTTGATAACGGACTTCCACAATGTACACAGTTTTCGTGCCATACAGGGGATGTGCTTCCTGCACGACAGTCAACTACGTAATCACGGCCGTCTGAAGAGCAGCTGCTGTCAGATAGACAATCGCTTCACTGTCAAACTGGCTGACTTTGGCCTGCCGACGTTGTACAACAACATCGCCGTTGATAGAACATCCCAGGAATACATTAACGGTGCGTCAAATAAAGGAACGTGTCTATACCCTGTTATCGTACGAACAGGATAGGGTTGTCTGGAAACATTTTTTACAAAACCGAAAGGTATCATGGAACATGCCCGTCAAGGTGGGATGTAAGAACGAAATCTGTACCCTGACCCGAGAAACATCCTCGGTTATCCAGGGTGTAATGTCTGCATTATATTACCATTAATACCCTGGACTTATTTTGTAACAGCGGAAGTGACGTCACCACCTCAATTTCTCTTACAAATAAGATATACATGATTGTTCACGTTGTTTTAATCGGCGCGTCTTTTCACAATCTAAGCTGTGGTAGAAATGGTCTCCAGCAACCCATGCTTGTCCTCAAAGGCGACTGAGGGGGTCGGGTGGTCCGGCTCGCTGACTTGGTTGATGCATGTCATCGTATCCCAGTTGCTTGGAACAATACGCATGATGTCAATCACTGGATTGTCTGGTCCAGACTCGAGTATTTACAGACCGCCGTCATATAGCTGGAATATTGCTGAATTCGGTGTTAAAGAACAAACACAAAATAATAAAACCAATGGAGTGGATATGCACTGCACTGGATCACCGAGGCTGCTTGAGTGAGTGAGTGGGCTAGTAAACTGCAGCACAAAAGAAAGTGTACACCCTTGTTTGATGGTGGCTAAAAATGAAAAAAAAAAAATGGTTTTTCGATAAGAATGTAGTTGATACGGGTAGGCGATGTCGCATCATATCAGCGGGTGTATCACAACGGTCACGTTATGTTTCTAGGTTTGTCAGCACCATACCCATGCTCGTGGGTTTCACCGAAGTGGTAAACGTCTGAGACCTGCATCACTTCGGGCTTTCCTCCCACATTAAGCTGACACGCCGCGATATAACTGGAATATTGTTAAAAGCTGCGTTAAACCCAACTCACTCACTCACTCACTCACTCACAACGGTCACGTGGACATGGCGCTTCAAGGTCGCGATTTCACTGTACACAGTGATAAGCAGAGTGAAGTGAGAATGTTCAAGTGTTTACTTTCTTTTGCCCGTCAGTTTATTCTTGGTTCAAGACCTACATTCTCCTTGTTTATGCCATGCATAGATAATGGTCACTTAAATACCACTGGGTGAGAGTGAATGTGTGTCTTCTATGGTTGATTTTGATTATTGTCTAGGCTAACAGATAATTCACACTATCGATCTGCATGGAATAAATCGTGTTAAATGTTGTACTGACATGATTTCTACAATTAACAGAGTGCTTGTGGACAGCGCCGGAATTGCTACGGAGTGACGTTGCTATGGCAACCAAAGAGGCGGATATGTACAGCTTCGGCATTGTACTGCAGGAGATAATCACGCGAGAATCACCTTTCTTTAACGAGACTTTGGATGTGACTGTGTCAGGTACTATCTCCCTATAACCATTAAGTGTGGTATACGATCAGTGTGTGTGTGTGTGTGCGTGCGTGCGTGCGTGCGTGCGTGTGTGTGTCTGTGTGTGTGTGTGTGAACAAGAATGAGCTTTTAGTTGACACCTTTCTATATCCAACTGTGACCTCATTTCTTTTGAAGTGAGGTGAGGTGAGGTGAAATTGGGTTTAGCGTCGCGTCCAATATTAATGAACTTATATAGCGACGTGCGTGCACGTGTTCCTGGTGTGTGTGGCTGCTTGTACTAGTCCGGACCGATGCAGATTTAAAGTGCTAACCCACGGAGATGCCATCCGGCAGTTTAACATTGATACCCCACTCAGACACAGTATACTCCGAGCTGACAAGCGCTTGTTTTATCCCCTTAATGCCGAGCGCCAGACAGTGTAACATGAATACCCCACTCAATCACAGTATACTGACACCGGGCCAACCAGTCCTTGTTTTATCCCCTTAATGCCGAGCGCCCGGCAGGAAACAACAAGTACCATCTGTAAATGTCTTTTGGTGAGCCGTTTCGGATAAAGCAGCGTTTGTAATGAGCGCTCAATAACTGTGTGTGGTAAAACCGGAGGATATTTCTTTTGTTTTTCATTTTTATCACACACACACACACACACACACACACACACACACACACACACACACACACACACACACACACACACACACACACACACACACACACACACACACACACACACACACACACACACACACACACACTCACACACACACACCACTTCTTAAGTATCACTTGCTTAAGGAAAAAGAATTAGCCTGCATATTACTTTATCATTGAATAGCATCCTTTTCAGACTCTAGCCAGAGTGAGTGAGTGAGTTAGTGAGTTAGTGAGTGAGTGAGTGAGTGAGCGAGTATAGTTTGACGCCGCTATGTGCAGTGTTACAGTCACATCACGAGAATGGGGTGGTTCTCGCATTGTGTGAGGAATTGAATCATGCGTTTTCAGCGTGTATCCAACTGCGTGACTGAAACACAAGGCGTTTTAAATTGATTAATCGTAACGTGCACGAAGTAACCATTGTGAAACGATAAGCACCAATTCCAGCGTGTGATCAATCGACATACAGCTATAACAAACAAACACACCCGTAAAGAAGCTAACTAAACCGTTATTAGTTGGATACCATCCTCAGTCTGATCTCGCTGGGCTGTGCCTTCCTTCCAGAAATACTTGTGAAGGTCATCAAGGGAAGTAACCCTCCTATGCGGCCGTGCTGTGAAGTTCCTCACCGCCTATCGGAGCTGCATGAGCTGATGAAGAGTTGCTGGTCAGAGGAGCCAGCGCACAGACCGAGTTTCATCACCATCCGGAAAGACCTCAAGAAAATCCTCGCGTGAGTCAAACCCATTCCGTGGTGAGGTCGGTGTGTGATCGTTCTACCCTTGTGGCCAGTGTATGTATGTCAGCTTCTTTAATATGAAGAACACAACGTTTCGGAGCATATGCTTACTCCTTCGTCAGGTGAAGGAATGCCCTGATGCAGAGAGCATATGTCTGTTGGCTTCCCCTGTTAGTTTCCACCCCTTGTTATCTTATTAATTTTGTTGTCCGTACATATTTTTATGCTCTCTGCCTCATAGCATTCATTCAGAATATTTAGGCTACAAACTTGTTTTAATCAGTAAGCAGTTAGGTAGAACACTACACGTCTTTGTGGTGTTTGCAGGCGTTTCGGCGAGTCCGGGAACCTGCTGGACACGCTACTGAGACGCATGGAGCTGTACGCCAACAACCTGGAGAAGCTGGTGGAGGATAAGACGCTGGAGTTGCGGGAGGAGAAGAAGAAGTCGGAGGAGTTGCTGTATCAGATCCTGCCCAGGTAGATAAACACGTGTCTTGTCCTCCCAGGCAGAGAGACACGAGTTCATATCGTCCAGGTAGATAAACACGTGTCCATATCTTCTAGGTCGATAAAGACGTGTTCATAGCTTCTAGGTAGATAAACACATGTCTTGTCCTCCAAGGCAGAGAGACACGAGTTCATATCGTCCAGGTAGATAAACACGTGTCCATATCGTCCAGGTAGATAAACGCATGTCTTGTCCTCCCAGGTAGATAGGCACGTGTCCATATCATCCAGGTAGATAAACGCATGTCTTGTCCTCCCAGGTAGATAGGCACGTGTCCATATCATCCAGGTAGATAAACGCATGTCTTGTCCTCCCAGGTAGATAGGCACGTGTCCATATCATCCAGGTAGATAAACGCATGTCTTGTCCTCCCAGGTAGATAGGCACGTGTCCATATCATCCAGGTAGATAAACGCATGTCTTGTCCTCCCCGGTAGATAGACACGTGTCCATATCATCCAGGTAGATAAACACATGTCTTGTCCTCCCAGGTAGATAGGCACGTGTCCATATCATCCAGGTAGATAAACGCATGTCTTGTCCTCCCAGGTAGATAGGCACGTGTCCATATCATCCAGGTAGATAAACGCATGTCTTGTCCTCCCAGGTAGATAGACACGTGTCCATATCATCCAGGTAGATAAACACATGTCTTGTCCTCCCAGGTAGATAGACACGTGTCCATATCATCCAGGTAGATAAACGCATGTCTTGTCCTCCCAGGTAGATAGACACGTGTCCATATCATCCAGGTAGATAAACACATGTCTTGTCCTCCCAGGTAGATAGACACGTGTCGATATCATTCAGGTTGATAAACAGGTGTTCATATCTTCTAGGTCGATAAATACGTGTCCATATCGTACAGGTTGATAAACACGTGTCTTGACCTCTCGAGTAGATAGACACGTGTCCATATCATCCAGGTAGATAAACACGCGTCTTGTCCTCCCAGGTAGATAACCACGTGCCTATATCGTTCAGGTAGATAGACACGTGTCCATATCATCCAGGTAGACAATTACGTGTTTTGACCTCCTAGGTAGATAGACAGGTGTCCATATCTTCAAGGTTGATAAACACGTGTCCAGAGCTTCATAGTAAATACGCGCGTGTCTGGTCTTCGAATTTTCCAGGTAGATGACAAAATGTCCAGTCATCCCAGATAAAGATGTATCTAGTATTCACGGGTAGATAAACACGAGTATTTTCTTCCCAGGTAGATGACAACATGTCCAGTCATCCCAGATAAAGATGTATCTAGTATTCACGGGTAGATAAACACATGTATATTCTCCCCAGGTAGATGAACACTTGTCCAGTCATCCCAGATAAAGATGTATCTAGTATTCACGGGTAGATAAACACATGTATATTCTTCCCAGGTAGATGACAACGCGTCCAGTCATCCCAGATAAAGATGTATCTGGTATTCACGGGTGGATAGATACGTGTATATTCTTCCCAGGTAGATGACAACATGTCCAGTCATCCCAGATAAAGATGTATCTAGTATTCACGGGTAGATAAACACGTGTATATTCTTCCCAGGTAGGTGACAACATGTCCAGTCATCCCAGATAAAGATGTATCTAGTATTCACGGGTAGATAAACACGTGTATATTCTTCCCAGGTAGATGACAACATGTCCAGTCATCCCAGATAAAGATGTATCTAGTATTCACGGGTAGATAAACACGTGTATATTCTTCCCAGGTAGATGACAACATGTCCAGTCATTCCAGATGAAGATGTATCTAGTATTCACGGGTAGATAAAGACGTGCATTTTCTTCCCAGTTAGATGACAACATGCTTCGTCTCCCCAGATAGATAAGGATCATAGATACGTACAGTATCTGGTCTTCACGGGTTAGATAACCATTCGTATAGACAGGTGTATACAAAATAGACATATCTCTCCCGGGGCTATGAAACATATCATTCAGCACATCCTGGCACTGTGCCGTGAGTGAATGAGTTACAATTTAACGTCGCATCGGCATTATTTCAGCTGTATAGCGGCGATAACTAATTCAGCTAGACCACCTCGCTTGGGATCATTGGGTCAACGTCATCACTTTAGCTGCAGGTGGTTGGCACTGTGGAAATGTTCGACCCTCTGGTGGTAGCAAACGCGAACAACAATTAACGAAATCACAGATTGCATATTTAAAGTAAATAATAATATGTTGTAATTTCCAACCTTTTGTTGTATCGTGAACTCGGTCATAAACTAACGAGCAAAAGAAACGTTACCAACCATCATGTGATGTCCATGTAAAGCTGTCAAGTGATATTTCCACCCACAATCACCCGAGCTGTCTTGATTTGGCCACATTTACCACCATAATGACGCTACCTCTAAACGGTTTCACGTCTAGAAGGCAACAACGTGATGGCTGCTCTACTCGGCGGCGGTAAACACAAAAGTTGCAATCGGCTCTCGTGCCCGTGCGTGCGTGCGTGCGTGCGTGGGTGCGTGCTCAATCACATTTTCAAATGATCTGGTAGACAAACATCTAGTCTCTGAAATGAACATCATTTACAGAAAAAAAACAGTTGTTAAATTATCTTCATAGAAATATAAAAAAGGAGCCCAGAGACGCTTACTGATACTACAGAAATCTAGACTTGCTAAATGTTATAGACTTGCATGGGCGGTATTGGATATATTTGTATCAGATTCTGTGTGACTAATGGTCTATAGCACGTGCATTACTCAACAAATTGCTTTTGATCTGTTTTGGATCGATTGATTCTCGATTAGTTTGAAACACTATTCGGGGTTTGGACCAAAACTTTAAACCAGTTCTGTTGCTCATCACTTTATGTCCTGTGTTTTGTGTTACGCACTTCTTACATAAGTTTGTGTTCCAATCTCTCCTAGGTCTGTAGCTGAGAGGTTAAAGCGAGGCCTCAGAGTGGAGCCTGAGGAGTTCGAGTGTGTAACCATCTACTTCAGTGACATCTGCGGCTTCACCACCATCTCCGCCAGGTCAACCCCCATGCAGGTCAGACCCAGTGACACGACATCACGGGAACTTCATTGACTCCAAAGTACCCATGCAACACAGACCTAGTGACACGACATCACGGGGACTCCATATAACTCCACAGTACCCATGCAACACAGACCTAGTGACACGACATCACAGGGACTCCACATTACTCCCAAGTACCCTTGCAACACAGACCTAGTGACACGACATCACGGGGACTCCATATAACTCCACAGTACCCATGTAACACAGACCTAGTGAAACGACATCACGGGGAATCCATATAACTCCCCACTACCCATGCAACACAGACCTAGTGACACGACATCACGGGGACTTCATTTAACTCTCTAATACCCATGCAACACAGACCTAGTGACACGACATCACGGGGACTTCATTTAACTCTCTAGTACCCATGCAACACAGTCCTAGTGACACGACATCACGGGGACTCCATATAACTCCACAGTACCCATGCAACGCAGACCTAGTGACACGACATCACGGGGACTTCATTTAACTCTCTAGTACCCATGTAACACAGACCTAGTGACACGACATCACGGGGACTTCATTTAACTCTCTAGTACCCATGTAACACAGACCTAGTGACACGACATCACGGGGACTTCATTTAACTCTCTAGTACCCATGCAACACAGACCTAGTGACACGACATCACGGGAACTTCATTGACTCCCCACTACCCATGTAACACAGTCCTAGTGACACGACATCCCGGGGACTTCATTGACTCCCCACTACCCATGTAACACAGTCCTAGTGACACGACATCACAGGAACTTCATTGACTCCCCACTACCCATGTAACACAGTCCTAGTGACACGACATCCCGGGGACTTCATTGACTCCCCACTACCCATGTAACACAGTCCTAGTGACACGACATCACAGGAACTTCATTGACTCCAAAGTACCCATGCAACACAGACCTAGTGACACGACATCACGGGGACTCCATATAACTCCACAGTACCCATGCAACACAGACCTAGTGACACGACATCACGGGGACTCCATATAACTCCACAGTACCCATGCAACACAGACCTAGTGACACGACATCACAGGGACTCCATATAACTCTCCAGTACCCATGCAACACAGACCTAGTGACACGACATCACAGGGACTCCACATAACTCCCAAGTACCCATGCAACACAGACCTTATGACACGACATCACGGGGACTCCATATAACTCCCCAGTACCCATGTAACACAGACCTAGTGACACGACATCACGGGGACTCCATATAACTCCCCAGTACCCATGCAACACAGACCTAGTGACACGACATCACAGGGACTCCATATAACTCCCAAGTACCCATGCAACACAGACCTAGTGACACGACATCACAGGGACTCCATATAACTCCCCAGTACCCATGTAACACAGACCTAGTGACACGACATCACGGGGACTCCACATAACCCCCCAGTACCCATGTAACACAGACCTAGTGACACGACATCACAGGGACTCCATATAACTCCACAGTACCCATGCAACACAGACCTAGTGACACGACATCACAGGGACTTCATATAACTCCCCAGTACCCATGCAACACAGACCTAGTGACACGACATCACGGGGACTCCATATAACTCCCCAGTACCCATGTAACACAGACCTAGTGACACGACATCACGGGGACTTCATATAACTTCCCACTACCCATGCAACACAGACCTAGTGACACGACATCACGGGGACTCCATATAACTCCCCAGTACCCATGCAACACAGACCTAGTGACACGACATCACGGGGACTCCACATAACTCCCCAGTACCCATGCAGGTCAGACCTAGTGACACGACATCACAGGGACTCCATATAACTCCCAAGTACCCATGCAACACAGACCTAGTGACACGACATCACGGGGACTTCATATAACTCCCCACTACCCATGCAACACAGACCTAGTGACACGACATCACGGGGACTCTATATAACTCCCAAGTACCCATGCAACACAGACCTTATGACACGACATCACGGGGACTCCATATAACTCCCCAGTACCCATGCAACACAGACCTAGTGACACGACATCACAGGGACTTCATATACTCCCCACTACCCATGTAACACAGTCCTAGTGACACGACATCACAGGGACTTCATATACTCCCCACTACCCATGTAACACAGTCCTAGTGACACGACATCACAGGAACTTCATATACTCCCCACTACCCATGTAACACAGACCTAGTGACACGGCATCACGGGGACTTCATTTAACTCTCTAGTACCCATGCAACACAGACCTAGTGACACGATATCACTGTCTTTACCTCTTACACGGGGGAACATTTCTATAACATAAAATTTAAATTTTTAAAAATGGCATTCGTACTCCTCCAGATTAAACACTTGACCTCTGCAAAGAGACAATAGTACTTGTAGACAATCACAGCATGATGGATACGCCCACAATGTAGGTGTTGCCGTGGATAATCGTACTGTCATGTGTTTGTCTCCAGGTGGTGGATCTCCTCAACGACCTCTACTTATGCTTTGACGCCGTCATCGACGCCTACGACGTTTACAAGGTACGCACTTGTCTCCACAATCAAAACTATGTAACAGTTAACGAAAGTGTATCACACATGTATTATTTGTTATATGTATGTTTGACCATGGAGATATACAATATACATATATGTATGTTTGACCATGGAGATATACAATAAACTAAGATATAAAACGTCATGATCATCACCAGAAAACAACCAGTCTCGATGATCCGCTGAAACAGATTACTTCACGCGTAAAAGGACAAATAGAGGTGAAAATGATATGAATGGGGCACTGAGATTCAGCCTTGACACCAGGTGTTCGCGAATAGGGTAAGCAAGTACTGCTCTACCGGTAGCGAACAAACACTGCCAATGAGTCACCGGATGCATTCATTCTTTCATTGTTGAATTTGCTTGGCGACTTTGTCACATTTCTGATTAACATATATCTAGCTCACCACTTTACTCGAATTTCCCACGCCAGATATCTTTGACAATGGGGAAAGTATTTACCTTTAATTTAAATATGTTTCATGTAAGTAAACATATGATAAAACAGTTTTGTGAAAGGTTGAAATCCAAGCTTGAACCTTTGACATAAATATCAGCTGGGCAGATTCAAATACAACCGCTATCAAAAGACAGACACACGCGTGTCCAAGTGGTCTAAGGCACTGTAAGCATATTACAGAGTTGCCTCGCTTAGCCCTACAAGGATCCGGGAAAGAGGGTTCGAATCCTAAATTCGTCCCGATGATGTCCATTGGTCCGAATCAGACGATAGTGTTTGATAACAGTGTTGTATATGGCATTTATCTCTGGCTACTGAATTCATGAAGTATTGTATATGGCATTTATCTCTGGCTACTCAATACATAAAGTATTGTTTATGGCATTTATCTCCGGCTACTGAATTCAGACAGAAAGCAACACCATTGTACGTGTCAGACGATATTGTTTGAGAACAGTATTGTATATGGCATTTATCTCCGGCTACTGAATTCAGACAGAAAGCAACACCATTGTTCGTGATTGATGACGTCACCTCCCCGTGTCGTTCTCTCCTTCAGGTGGAGACTATCGGAGACGCGTACATGGTTGTTTCTGGCTTACCACAGAGGAACGGAAACAAACACGCCCAGCAGATCGCCCTGATGTCGCTGGCTTTACTCCAGGCTATAGACACGTTCAGGATGCGCCACCTACCGGGGGAGAAACTCAGGCTGAGGATAGGCTTGCATTCAGGTGGGAAGAGACGGCTGTACGGGATGTCCGATGGTCTGTTAGATATGATTTGATTAACCTTTTTTATTCCATAATGTTCGCCTACACAGTTTCATTTTGGCAGTAGATTGACTTCATGCATATTCCAGGGTCTGTGTAAAATGTTTCTCTCTACATGGTCTGCAGCTGTGTGTGATGTTAAATTTCTCTCTTCAGGTTCTCTGTGTGATGTTTAATTTCTCTCTTCAGGTTCTGTGTGTGATGATTAATTTCTCTCTTCAGGGTCTGTGTGTGATGATTAATTTCTCTCTTCAGGTTCTCTGTGTGATGTTTATATTATCTCTTCAGGTTCTCTGTGTGATGTTCAATTTCTCTCTTCAGGGTCTGTGTGTGATGTTTAATTTATCACTACATGGTCTGTGTGTGCTGTTTAATTTCTCTCTACAGGGTCTGTGTGTGCTTTTTAATTTCTCTCTACAGGGTATGTGTGTGCTGTTGAATTTCTCACTACATGGTCTGTGTGTGATGTTGAAATTCTCACTACAGGGTCTGTGTGTGCTGTCTAATTTCTAACTACAGGGTCTGTGTGTAATGTCTAATTTCTTTCTACATGGTCTGTGTGTGCTGTCTAATTTCTCTCTTCGTGGTCTGTGTGTGATGTTTAATTTCTCTCTACAGGGTCTATGTGTAATGATTAATTTCTCTCTACAGGGTCTGTGTGTGATGCATAATTTCTCACAACAGGGTCTGTGTGTGGTGTATAATTTCTCGCTACAGGGTCTGTGTGTGATGCATAATTTCTCTCTACAGGGTCTGTGTGTGATGTTTATTTTCTCTCTGTGTGTGATGTTTATTTTCTCTCTACAGGTTCTGTGTGTGATGTTTAATTTCTCTCTACAGGTTCTGTGTGTGATGTTTAATTTCTCTCTACAGGGTCTGTGTGTGATGTTTACTTTCTCTCTACAGGGTCTGTGTGTGCGGGGGTGGTGGGGCAGAAGATGCCGAGGTACTGTCTGTTTGGGGACACCGTCAACACAGCGTCCAGGATGGAGTCTCACGGGGAGGGTGAGTATGGACACATGCATAGAGACATCACGCATCTCAAGGCCACCTAACATCCGACGATATGAAAATACTCACTCCTAAAATTTCCAAAATATATTAACCTTGAATAATATTATTACCGAATGTTTTCAAATATTGCTTCGACTCTGGATCTACCCGGAGAGTTGAAGGTCGGGGGTTCGATTCCCGGCCACGTCATACGTATGTAAAAAGACGGTACATGTTGTTACCCTGCCTGGCGCTCGGCATTAAGGGGCGAAAAATAGGACTGGTCGGTTCGGAGTCAGTATTCTGTGTATCTCAGTGGGCTAGCACTATAAAATCGGCATTAGTCCGGACTAGTACAAGCAGCCACACACACAGCCACGTGCATGCACGTCGCTAAATAAGTGCAATAATCTTGGACGACGTTAAACCCCATTTCACCTCCCATCACATCACCTTTAACTATCCACAACAGATATATTGTCAAGATATCCATCATTTCTAGCCAACAATTCTTGGGCCAATACATATTTGTCTGATATTTTCTTAAAACGTTTTTTTCGAGACAACCCCCCGGAATATCAAACTTGTCGGCTCTTAAGATTTACAGCTGTAAAGTTAATATAAGGTACGTAATAGGAACATTAAAAAGCATACGAACAAATCCCCAGAAGCTGTCATGGTCTTGTGTCTTTAACGCTAATATGGAGCTGTTTCTATGAAGCTCTGCAGATCCACATGAGTGACCCAACAAAACAACTATTGGACGACTTCCCCACCTTTAATATTCAGAAGAGGGGCGTTATAGAGGTGAAGGTCAGTATACCCATTTTACAAGGTGTACCAGACAATACGCCTCCGGTTTCTTCAATGGAGGTTGTAGGTGGTCCGGTGGATCGGAATGTCTGGTCCACTCGTCCCGACATACCAAAATACTTTAAAAAATGGTACAAACAGAAATATGTGTTGAATGATCCGTGTACATCAGTGTTAAACCAACCAACCCCACCCTTCCCCGTGTTATGCATTCAAAAATTCATCATCCAAAAATCATCGCCACAGGATATCGCTACAGGACCATTTCTTCAAAGACAACGAACCGTTTTTTATATTATGGTTCACAAAAGTAACTGAACCGTAAACTGTAGCATAACAAATTTCCCATAAACATCCCTTAAAACATAGCTACCTAGTGCTTCTTGTTCGGATGAGCAAGTGAATGAGTTAGTGGCCATGGGTGTGGCATGAATGACAATATTGCAGCAATGTATGCAATGATAGTTTTTAATCGACCGTCTGTCCATCCCTCTCCAGAATGAAAGATCTATTTTAGCGTACGTTTGATTGCAGGGTAAAGGTCCGATGTCCACGTTTTGGCTGCTCTCATCTTCTTCCTAGTCACATGACACTGACGGGAGGTGAGGTGCCCTTGGTTACGAGGACACATGTTCATCAAGCGCACAGGAAACTACAGTGCCAACAACATTTTCTAACTTCTGTGAATGGGGGGAAAAACTTTGATTCGTCTCTAAACATGTTGTAACGCCACTGGCGCACATCCCGTCCTTGGTGTTACCTCGCCTTCCCCAATCTTTGCCGCCTACGGTAAGGTGTTAGGGTCACACCCTTCACAGGACGCCTTGCTTTCATGCGGGCTGCATAGAGCCGGTTTGTAGCGGTAGATGTTGACATTCGCCTTCCTGTTACTGTATGGAATTCTCTTTAGATAACAGGAACAGATGTTAACCTATTGCGTAGTGGACTAAATGTGGTGAGACAATCTGGTCTGGTTTAGGCCTGCCACGTCCAGGTCGCATGGCACTCCCACCCGTTGGACTGTACTTGACCCACAGTCGAGAAATTACACTTGTTGACTCGCCATACATTCGGGCAACTTGGGATATTGACGACCCTACCCATGTTTACCATTCGGTCTGTTCATTGCGATACTGTCACGGAGGCATTTTAAGCGGGTGCTTAGCTCAGTTGCATTAGAGTTTCCCTACAGGCTCATACACTCTGGCTTCTTCACCAAACTTGGCACATAGATGGGTTTAGTGGTGAACTAGTGCCTTTTGATAGTTTGGGATTTTTTAAACAATTTTTTGGAGTTTACATGGCAACAAGATTAATAGATTTATCACGATAAATATTTACAACTTCGGGGGATGACTTTGTCTCCTTGTTGATTTGCGAAACATTTCGGCCAGTTTTGGATTTCGTTTTACCAATCTATCGTACTCATAATTCGCCATGTGTCAGTTCATTGATATTCTGTCTCGGGAGCATGTTAAGCGTATGCTTTGCTTTATTGCATAAGTGATTATGAGTTCCCCAATGGCCTCTGTTTGTACGTGCATAACGTGCTGTTCATGTATGGTGTGAAATTGCATAGTAATTTTAATCGTTCAGATGCAACGCCACGGTATTGTGAATGTACAACTTAACGATAGCTGCTTTCAATTAATTAATTCCCATATTTTTTGTCGTTAATATATATTGTACAATTTCAAAAGTGTCCTTGGCTTTTTACCAAGTGCTGTATTTATTTCTTACTTTTAACTCGTTTAAATTCACAAATATATGCTTAATAATTATTAAACACGACATGTCACAAATCGTCATGTGACAATCGGTTCTTCCATCAGTGATTATGGCACCAGTGGCGTGATTGGGGACAATTGATGATTGCCACGGACAGGAGTACTGGGTATACTATATAAAGACTAGGTGAGTGTGCTTTTTTGAACAGTATTCAATTAATACAACCATATCACATTTAGCTGTACGAGGAATGCATTAAAGGAAGCCATGGAACGACAACTAAAGACAGAAAGACCTAAGTAACGTAACCAAGTAACCAAGTGCGTCACAGCGGAATACACTGAACATGCCGCCGGTATTATAACCATCAGTTGAAAAATCTGGTAACCTTGATAATAACTCGGCATGTTGGTATGAGCAGCGCTTGGAATGGCCGCTCGATGACAACCTTTAAATACATTTTATCTTCAACATCTACGGAAACGTAAGGCCCGGGTTCGATTCAATAAATGGGTACAATGTGTGAAGACAATTTCTGGTTTACATGTGTTGTAGCAACGTAAACCAATACTCAATCACTTCAGCAAAGATATGAATCATGGTTCCGGCCAGAGCTACAGACCAGAGCACAGAACAGAACACCAGAACTTACGGGGCTGTCATTACTTGGTACATGCATTGGACAGAAAGTGGAGCCTTTGTGTGTGATAATTCCTGCCTTAATATATCCTCGACAACGCTCGAGTACTGAATTACTAAAATATTTCAATTATTTGTTGTTGTTTTCGAAATTTGGAGTTTTGTTTCTCGTTACTTCGATTAAATTGTCATAATTTCGATTATTTTCTTCATATTTCAAGTTTACCTTTTTAAATCGAGATTTAAATTTTTTTAAATAGATTAAAATTACGAGAATATCTTTGAAATTATGAAAACAAATTTAAGTAACGAGAAACAACTCAATATTTTGAAAAATAATCAAATTGTATCGAGTTAAATAAATTATAATTGTGCTCACAATGTGGCATCAGTAGGGTTTACATAAGAACTGGTACCGTTGCAAATTAACAGTTTTCAGCCTTATTGTTGTACCGTCCAGATCTCTGTTGAATGTTTCATTGTTTGTTGACAATGTTTGTGAAAATTCGTTTTTGAGATTGTTATTGATAAATAAATATTGATGACAAAATTAACCGATTCCCTTGTCTTGTTTGTGTTCTTTATTGTTTAACCCCGCACTCAGCAATATTTCATCTATATGACGTAGGCATGTAAATACTTGAGTCTTGACCAGTCAATCCAGTGATCAACGCCGTCAGGGTCTGATGACACGTAATCAACCAACTTTTGGTCACCTCATACCACCAGCACAGTTTGATTGGGACAATTCTAACCCGAAATCCCTCACGGACTGATTATTGTCAAAGAATGAAAGGAAAACATTTTCTAATACTCCTTGTTATTATCGGTATTGAAACTATTAATTTTTCCCTTGCTGTTGTTTAAATTCGTAAAACATTGGTTCATACTTGGAAAGTTGAGATAATGTTTCACCTAATTTGTTTACGATAACCTCCTTGAGATAAACACTAGGATTCGAACCTTCTCTTCAATTTTTATGTTCACATGTTTCCTCAGTAAGCCTCCTTTAAATGTAATTTGCATTCATGTCAATGTTCCCGGTCACCTTTAAGGAATTGTTTAGTGGTATCATATTTTATCGTGATTATGCCGCAGAAAATACTGTCATTAGTGAGTTTCATACAATGGTCTCATTTCTCAATGACCTTGGAAATTATTTTCGTTCTTGCAGTGGGAAGGTCAAAGGTCATGTTCAAGAACATGACTCAAAAGCTTGTGGTTACACTTATGACAACAGTGTTTATACACATATCATTCAGCGTAGTGTATACATTCTCCATAATTGAGTCCTGCTTTGAAAAGGTTAAGGTCAAAATAAGTTAAAGGCCAAGGTCAGCATTCCGCGTTCTGTAAAACATGGTTATATCTTTGTCAGCTTCTGGAGCATTGCCAACTATCTACAGGCGTGGAACTGAAACTGCATGTATCGTTACATAGACTAGCAATCTGATATTGGTGTTATGACGTCAAAGTTCAAGGTCATCATTGAAGTCATTGTGGAATGGGTTGTATCATTTATTGTGACCTTCAGTTGTATATCTGCTTGCTCAATTCTGAGCCCTGGGTAATTGTTGAATCGTGAAGAAGTTGTAGAACGTAATGTTGTAGGACATGTAGACTGTCAAGCTTTGAGGAAATGGGGTCTCCAGCAACCCATACTTGTCATAAAAGGCGACTATGCTTGTCGTAAGAGGCGACTAACGGGATCGGGTGATCAGGCTCGCTGACTTGGTTGATGCATGTCATCGTATCCCAACTGCGTGGATCGATGCTCATGATGTCAATCACTGGATTGTCTGGTCAAGACTCGATTATTTAGACCGCTGCATATAGCTGGAATATTGAGTGTGGCGTTAAACAACATCCAAACAAACAACTTTGAGGAAGTGGCAAGGAAGGGGCTGCTTCTGTTGATGCAAGTATATACATACACCCCAGTTTCTTGTGTCCCTGATGGCCTCTGTGGAAGTAGCCAGTTTCAAACTATTCTTTCCACGGTTAATCCATCATCTGTTCCAACTTCATCAAGATGTACTATACCAACAGCTAATTGTTTTTTGTTGGAATCTCCACGTACAGATGAACATAAATCTGAATTATTCACTAATTATTCAAGCCTCTTTTCAGAGGAATGAAACATAATTATTGATAAATGTACTCCCAAAGCCCTCTACAAAGCCACAGATTCGAAAACAGTGGTTTAATTTAATTTTGAATGCAATAACCAACAGTTCACAACTCAAATACATTGCTAATACATTTTAATATATTTAAATATTCTTTTAATCCAAACAAACGATAGTCTTGGTAAAACAATGTAAACTTATGCCTTGTGCTAGCATCGGGAATACTGATTTTAGTTAAAATGATGAAAGGAGGGAAAACTAAATACAATGTCAGTTTTTATTCAGATTCTTGTCAGTCATTGATTGTGTCTAGTTCCCACCTGGAGTGAGTGAGTGAGTGAGTGAGTGAGTGAGTGAGTGAGTGAGTGAGTGAGTGAGTGAGTGAGTGAGTGAGTGAGTGAGTGAGTTAGGTTTTTAACGCTGCTTTTAACAGTATTCAAGTGGGAGGAAAGCCCGAAGTGATGCAGGTCTCACTTCAGTGAAACCCACGAGCATGGGTACGGTGCTGACAAACCTAAAAACATAATTTCTCTGCGTCTTTTATCCACTTCACACGAGGCTGTAAACCCATGAGATATTTTGGGATTTCAAAAATAAACTGTTCAGGAAAATAATTGAAAACATTTTGCCCCGGGTTTGACAAACAAACAAACAAAGCAGTTCGCTGGATATGTTGGATGCCCTGATGTAAATATGTTTGACATGTTTGGTTCTACCTGTATTTGCATTTGTTGTCTCTGAAACAACATGTCCGTCTCCACCCACTAGAATCACCACTCTCATCCCCGCCACATCAATAAACTCAACCCACGCCCTCCCCATCCCCAACACAAATGTTCGACTCGTTCTTTATTCAAAGAGGTATTGTTTTTCCAAAGTATTTTTGCAATATCGACCACAGTACAATGCACATGCCACGTCAACAACTGAGTTAATTGTTATATACTCAATGTCGTTTAACAATTCATTTACTGACTCGCTTAGTGTACTACGACAATATTTGCTTACAAATAGAAGTATGATGATGTTAATTATTCACATAAGTACATTAGTAAAACATATAATCTTAGGAAGAAAATATTCTCACTTACGTACTTACTCTCTGAGTGTGCTACAACAATACCTGTATGTTCCTACATAT